TGTGTCCTCGCACGTGCAGTATACCTGGTGGTAACTGGCAGGGACACTTCCAAACTAACCACGAAATGCCACAGGGGGAAAAGAAATATGCAGCCATACCGGGAATTTGAAACCCGCAACCCCCTTTACAGGGGCTAGATTCTTTCCCGAACCGAGAGTGCCACATCATCTACTGAATAGATTTCGTACCGGGACATTATAAGCAAGAGACATAGATAACTATGTCTCTTATATAAGTGGATATGTGTAATTTCCAAGTATGTGTAATTAGATTTAAACGTCTTATTCATTCGCAACAAATAGCAACCATACTTTATAGAATGTATTATGGTAACTATATGTAAAAGGAATATATATGATTGTTATTTTCAAAAATAATAGTTTGATCTTTGTTAATAAATTTTTCTCGTTTTTTATTAAATTTTGCCTTGTGACTATTCACTTATAATTTATCACTTTTTACTTATGACTTTTATCTTTTGACTTTTGACTTATAACTTTTGTCAATTTGCTGTTACTCTTTGCCTTGGTATAAACATTAGTTTAACTTGATTTAGATTAGTGCAAAATAAGCAAATTTTGTGATACAGTCACCAAACGCAAGGGAGCAACATCAAGCCGAGAGTGGTGTTGAAGTCATATAATGTTTACAAGTACATTTAGCCACTAGCCTCATTTTTCATTAGAATTATTGCATTCATATGATTTTATCATATGATAGTTTGATCTTTTTTACGTGAAAAATCAACATCAATTGTTTTTGTAAAATCATATGTATAGAAGGTTTAATTCGGAACATTCATTTTCATAAGTGCCGTCTGCCAGCATTAAAGTAATTAAAGTAAATAAACTGTTTATTGATAAATAAGAATTTTTTATTCAGATTAAACAGTTCTGAGCTATTTTACTAGATGTGTAGCTTTATTCTACCAATTTTTCATTAACATTTTACATCTTGAAATAGATTATTTAATTCTTTGTTGAATTTTAGTCACGGTTGACTGGTACGCTATTTTTCCGTGTTCACTATTAAAGAGGTGAACAAGCGTTAGGCATTATAATACATTAAATTAAAAGAAGATACTAAACGGAATATTATGTAGTAGTAGCTTTTTAAGGCTTTGTATATTTTGCTACGAGCAGCGGTGGAAAAAATGATATCTCGCAAAGACCGAAGGTCGAGTGAAGATATCAATTTTCCAATGTTGTAAGTAGAAAAATGCATATAAATATGGTCCTGAATGAATAAAAATACATTTTCCTCATTTTTACAATTTATTATTGTGTTATTGTAACTTTGTTATAACCCCCAAAATAAACTTGCAATTTACTATCAGAAATAAACAGTATTTAAATGTTACAGAGAATTTATTTATCTATGTAGAGATAATGTTCCATTTAAAATTATATGTAAAGAGGTTAAAATGAGTAGAAATTAGAAATAGAATATCAATCACTTTAGAAGTTAAAACTGTGTGGAACCAGCCAACTCCCTCAACAGACTACCTAAATATACTCTACCGAGAGACCACGTTTCCAAAGGTTTTTTTTTACCTCACGGTCTAGACCGTGACAGGTTGGCAGAGCTATCAATAATTTTTTGGAAAAAATGCGTTTAAACAGATAAAACAAACATTTCTAATTCTACAACCGTGCTTTATTTTGTTTTAACAAAAATTGTTGTCTTATAAGAAAACAAATGTATTAGATATGCAAAACAAAATGCATTTGAGGCTTCATTATATTTAATTTAAAAAAAAAAAACTTCAAGTATTTACGTCACAGAAGACATATATGCATGCAATATTTCTACAAAACAACACATTGTGATACGGTACTGATGAAAAAACTAAGAAAATCATGAGTGCTTTAACAAAAGCGTTTGAAAACATAAGATAAACTTAGGTAAATTAGCAACGTTAGAGTGTTTGTATTATTATTATTATTGAAGTCAAGATTTTTAAAAATCATTGTCAGAGCGTTATTTCTTCTTTTCTACATGTTTAAAAGAAAGAAAAAAACAAACACCCCGTCTCTCGCCAAAGATTTCCTAGTTAACTTTAAATAACGTCCAAATTTTTTTTCTTCGAAGTATGACCAATTTTATATGTAATGGAAATCCCATAGTCTTTCGTAATGAGCATACCCCCATCCCAACCCACGGCATGTCCATGTCAGAAAAGGAAATTTTTAACTTAGGAGAACGATTTTAATTTTATAATCAAAAGTTTTTGTTAACAATACAAATGCACTCTTTCTCGCGATATAATCTGCCAGTAAATTCAAGTTGATGCCTTCAATAGTTTTTGATTGATAATTATGAGCTTAACAAAAATCTAAGTATGAAAAAAAAAAAAAAAACAATAAAAAACAAGACTTTCTAAAATTTTATGATAGCTAAGAAGCATGTTTCTTACTTGCCTCGCCGAGCTATATGATCATGCAAGTTGATTTCGATACCTTTCATATAAGTTTTAATATTTTACAATGGGCAAATACTGAAAATTATGAAAAGCCAGAAATTGTGAATTCATGATTTTTTCACACTTTTCTTGTCTCACGATGACCTGTCTAGCGATACAAGTTTTTTATACCATATTGGAGATATGGACAATATAAAATAAACGTGGCGAGACGTGACATTGTGTGTTTCCATAAGCGTCCATAATAAATGGTGGGCGTTGTCGAGCGTCTGAAAACAAGTGTGAAAAGGTTAACCCTCGTATTCCGAAAATCTCTGAATATTTCCATAGACAATAACGAGGGAAAACCAAATCACCAGTGTTTGCACATTTTGCATTTGCTAAAACTGTACTACTTTCCACTCGGAAACGAACGCTGTGTTGCAATGAAACCTCTTAGTCTTCTAAACTGGCTCCGAAAACTTTTGACAAATATGTATTTCCTGATGCTCTTGCAACTGCTTTGTAGTTGAAACCATTCGACAGCAGTCCTTAATCCCTACAGGTAGCTTAACTAGAATTTAAATTGAAAAATTAAAAAGTATGTGTTATTTCAATTGAAATGAAATACCTATATATACAAAATGAAAATACAAAACATCCTTAATACATAACTGTATTCAAAAGTTTATATACAAATTACATGTACTTTGTACTTGGTAGGTGTCCTAAGTTATTGATATTGAACAAGTAAAATAAAAAATTTTTCCCCCAATAATTATTCAAAACTGGGTTAAGGGGACCGTATTTTCATAAACTTTCTGAAAAAACCCCCATTTTAAAAGTTTTAAAAAATGGGCATAAGTATTAAAAAATTTCCCCCAAGAAACTTTCAAACTTTAAAATTGTTTAATTTAAAAAAAGGCCTAAAAAAAAGTTTTTGGGGCAAAACCCAAATTTTTCATGAAACAAAAAAATTTCAAAAGTCAAAAAAAGAGGAAAATACTTTGAAAAAACAATGAAAATTCAGAAATTTAAATTATTAAGGGGTTTTAAAGTGGTGTGAATTTTTAAAAAGCTGTATGTTTTATCATTTTTTAAAATTTACCATGTTTCTTTGAAACTTTTTTAATTACAAATTTTTTTTTGTAAAAAAAAGGGCCCTAAATTTTTTGGCCCTCTATTAATTTTAAAAAGATGGACGAAGAAGAACTAACGGGCTGGAAAACCGATTGAAACTGCCAGCAAACAAAAATGTGAGACTGATTTGGATTTTAAAACTGGAAAACCTACATAAAAAATAAAAGCCGTTTATTCAAGCTGTATTGTCTTTATGAGATTATATATCCCTTTTCCGGAAAATCAAAAATAAAACAATCGCATTACAAATTCAATTGCAATGCAACCAAAATATTTTTTTTTCTTAATCAATTAAAAAAGGAGTTTATAACCATATAGAAAACCCTTCCTTGCCATTATGTCCCACATCTTTTGTTTTTAAACATAAGTAACTCCCAAGAAAATTAGGCTTAAATGAACTTACCTCGTCTAATCGTTGTCTATTCTGCCGAGCATATTTTCCACTCTGGAAATAATGAAGGCAAGCAACGGGGGGACAGTAACAAAATCCATAAGTCAAAAATCAAAAGTTATAAATCAAAAGTCATAAATCAAAAGTCATAAATCAAAAGTCATAAGAAAATAGAAAAATAAATCTATAAGTCGAAACTCAAAAGTGACCCTCCAAGGCTTCCATAATATACCTTAACTCTACTACACATCACTAATCTTTAATTAAACACTTTTAAACTGGCATTTATGTGTAAAAAGAGGGCTTGGCTATCTTTATTAACATTTCTTTTATATAACAACGCTATCAATTTGATCTTTGTATAATACTTCATGCTCATCATTTTCACAGACAGACATCTTATTATACATATGTATATGATCTTTATGTTAAAACATCATTGATAAACATGTCACATATCTAGAACATATTACAAAAGTTTAATCATATGCATTTTAACATATAGTTACATATAATACCGTACGTACATGCATAACAATCAGGTTATATCATTTATAAATGAATTTCGAATAACAAATGCATATTTCATATATTTGCACAATTAAACAATATCGTTTTTATTTGAAGAAGTAAGCAAAACATTAAATTAAAACACAGATCGGTTAACATAATAAAAACGTTTGATATATTGCATTCTTATTTGAGAATAGCAATGACACGTACAAATAAAGTGGAATTCATCTTACAACATTAACAATACAATTCATGTATTTTGTTTCTTGGTAATTTTTTACGGGTAAACCTCCCTGTTTTTATTCTCAAAGGGTGCAATGAAATTCTAACTTAAACAAAATCATGACAATAAGTTCGTATTTTTTTTATTTTATTTTTTTTTGTGATGGTTAGTTGAATTTGTTCTGTATCACACAAACTCATTATTAAATTCATCAATGAAATTCAATACAGCCATACAGAAAACGTGATAGGTACGCCGATAATACGGAGTGTCATGCTAATATAATAGATCCAGCACTCAAATAATAAAAAACCCGGATATCCTTTGTCCCAGTTAAAAATGTACATGACTTTTAATGATATTGATCAAAGGAAAGGGAGGTAAGCAAATGTCATAATATCAGCGTAAGTTCAAGGACGTAGTTTTTTTTTTGACCATTAATCAGTGATGGCAACAAATCACGGAATAGCTGAAATAAACCTTGGTAAGTTATGTTTTATATGTTAGTCACATTTTTTTTTGTTACTGTAAAATGTTTTTGTACACTGTTTGATATGAGTCACTGTATTTTAAAGGATACTCTTATAAAATGAACAATACTGCGGGAGTGTAGCTGAATTTCCGCTCTCAATGCATGTTAAATAGGCCTCGTTCGAATTTGACACAAACAAACTGAATTACTAACGCTTGATAATACAATCATTAATTTTGATACTGTTTAAGTCGATTTTAAGAGGCACGTTCTCTAGTTCTTAGTATATATAACCCCCCCCCCCCCCACCCACCCCCTTATAGCAGTTTAAATATTGGTTCAGTAGATGATGTACATATATAATTTTGAATATTATCTGTATTCAAAAAGAAGTTAAATTATGCTACCACAAGTTACAATGCTAAAAAGTCTTAACTGTATAACTTTATAGCCCTAGTGATATTTTGAATAATTGTAACGGTAAATTGTTAGTTTGCATTGACATTCAGTAATATAAATTATTAATTTCAAGCGGAATTTAAAACTTTAAAAACTGATTTTTTTTCGATTTTATCATTACACTTGCACTAGCTTCCTGCGACTTTTTTTGCATGCACATTAGATTTTATGCTTTAGATATACATATTATTTTAATTGTTTAGAAATGTCAAACATGTGTTTGATAATGTATTTATAATGCATTTACAACATGTTACATGTTTAACAACCGACGAAAGTAAAAATATTTAATTGATTGAACATGCAAATATGCTTAAAATTGGTAAAATGTAATCAAAGGAGTACAGTTTTGTTTTCCATACAAAATACTAATAATATCAACATACCAATTGTTAACAGAAAAAAGAGGCAAAATATAGTTCCTTCTAATGGCAAAAAAATGTTTTTGAGAAATAAAAAAAAACATGTAATACTCACTGTAGTAGCAGTCCTAAGGCATAACATACCTAGATATAAATGTAAAAACTGTTATATAGAGTATTTAGGATATTATTGAATACATTACATTTCCCAAAAGCTCAACATGATATTTAAAAGAATTTTTCAAAACTATTTATCTATGTAATGACTTTCTTTTATTCTCTTATTTAAATTATTTTTATAGGCAATAATTTTGAAGATGAAGCTTTACAAACGTTCCTGCATGATGTAGAAAAAATGATTGTTGAAGAATCATTGGTGAAAGGTACATCCAGGGAAACACGTGTTACAAATTTCAGACAACCAGAAGAATTGAAGGTAACACAGTTTTGACTTCCATACAAAATATTAAAACCCCTTTAAAAATTTACATTTTTGCCCCAGAAAAGTTTTTTTTTCTAAAGTTTTGGTAGTGTTCAGAAAACATTGTTTAGTAGTTTTACTGGGTGTTTTTTAAAGTGGTTTAGAATTGAAATTTTAAATTATCCCTTTGAATCCAGAAAAAGTCCATTGATTGGGTTTTAAAAGGACGGGAAAAAAATAGATAAATTAAAAAAGCATTTAGGGGAAGTGTTTCAAAATCATTAACTTTTTAAATTTGGGCCCCCAGTTTTTGAGCCCGACCCCTTTTGGGCTGACCAGAAATCTTACTTTATTCTGCCCCAAAATTGTAACAGTTAACTTTACAGTTTACAAAAATTTGGGAAACTTTAATAAAAATTTAACCATTTTTATTTATTTCATAAAACTTCTTGTTATCAAAGTGTTTTGATTTAAAAATTGGGACGTGGGTTTTTTATTATGATTGTACGTGTCCTTATTTATGTTTCTAATTATTTATATTAAAAAAAAACTATTTCAAAACTAATTAAATATATGAACATGCATATATTTTAAATTAAATATATGAACATGCATATATTTTACTCTGTAGATATACTTTATTTCATTTAAAAGTAATATTACAAATAATTTGTATTTTGTTAATAATACCACGTGCACATAGTAAAAAAACTTCCTGTTCACAATTTTAAACACAATCCGTCGGTCACATTTCGTCATGAAACAAAAAATACATATACATGGCGTAAAATTGGGGAGAGGGACTGGGAAAATATTTGTAACCAACTTCTATATTTACTCTTTTTGACTTCATTTTCTTTTTTTATATTTCCAGGAGATCTTGAAGCTGTCCATTGAAAGATCTCCATGTAGTTATCAAGAACTACTAGAAATATGCAAAAAAGTAATTACTTATTCAGTCAAAACAGGTAATTATTATAATATCTTTTTTTATAGAAGGTAACACATAAAGATATACCATCAAATAAAAAAAACAAATGAGCCGTGTCCCGACAAAACGAACACAATGGGTTTGCGAGCAGCATGGATCCAGACCAGCCTGCGCATCCGCGCAGTCTGATCAGGATCCATGCTGTTCGCTATCAGTTTCTCTGTTTGCTTTCCAACCCTGTAACAAGAAGAGAAACTGATAGCGAACAGCATGGATCCTGATCAGACTGCGCGGATGGTCTGGATCCATGCTGGTCACAAACGCACTATGTTGGTTTTGTCATGACACGGCTCAAATAACATACTACTTAGCCTATTTATATATATACGTAATTTAAAAATACTTCTAAAAAGATGATGTTTCTTGTCCAGATTGACAGCTGGACAAGTGTATTTAAGATATAAAGGTAGTACGGGTTGACGGTGGCTGATTTGGTACGCTTTTGTGCGTTGCACGTTGTCGGACTTTCGTCTTGTCGTCGTGTCGCTAATGCTGTGTTCTCACCGCCGATCAGATCAACTCGATTAAGCACGATCAAGCGAACGGGTACCGGTCTAGCTCGGTCTGCATGTGTGATCGGGGGGTGGTCGGAGCGGTCAACCTTGTTCGGCATGGCTCGGGCTTCCTACCCGAAGTTTTTTGACATGTCAAAAAATTCGAGTAGCGATCAAGTAGATAAGCGGTCGAGAAGAGATCGTATAGTGATCGAGTAGAAGATCTAGTTGATCGAGAATAACGATCTAGTTTGGTCGGGTATACATCTCTTACCCGATCTGTACACGATCATCTCGACTTCTACTCGAGCATTATCCACGATCATTACGATCTGGTCGGGTTGAAATCTGGCAACGATCGAGCAGAGGTCCAGTTAGTCTAGTTGAGATCGTGTATGCTTTGCGTATAGGTCTGGGGGATCGAGAAGAAGTCGGGATGTTGGTCGGGTTTTCGTCGAGAAGAAGTCGTAAAACATCGTGTAGGGTCGACTTGATGTCGTGTAGGAGTCGAGAATGTGCATTTAATCCAGCTTGGTCGGGCTTCATCGGGGAATTAATGTGATCGGGACGGTCGAGTGAACTGATCGGCGGTGAGAACATAGCATAACGATGTACGCCAAACGGCGTGTTGTCGTGCGGCGTGTTGTCGCGATGTCACATTGTCGCTCGGTTCAAATCGAAGGATTGGCTTATACAGCCAAGCGACAGGGCGACATCGCGACAACGCTCAGCACGACAACGCGCCGTTTTGCGTGTTTCGCTAGAGACAGGACGAGAACGACAGCGCGACAAGACGAAAAGGCGATAACGATATAGGTTGCGTCGACAACGCAACGCGCAATGTACCAAATCAGCCACCATAGATATTATATGACTTCAGAATTCGATATAAACATTTGTATTTTATACAGGAACTTTCTCATAAACGTTTCGTGTTTCAGGTTTGATTATTCAGGTCATACTAATATTTATATAGGTGTATCCCATAACCTGCCAAATTTCTCAAATGGACTTTTCCAGCTTCAATTTTTTTGGATTGAGCATTTATTTTTCTTAAGTTTGGAGATATAATATGTTAGTTTTTATTTTACAGGCAACTCTAGGTTCTTTATATTTTTACAGTTAATCGTATGGTCTATATTTTTACAGGCAATTCTAGGTTCTTTATATTTTTACAGTTAACCATATGGTCTTTATATTTTTACAGGCAACTCTATGTTCTTTATATTTTTACAGGTAACCCTAGGTTCTTTATATTTTTACAGTTAACCATATGGTCTTTATATTTTTACAGGTAACCCAAGGTTCTTTACATTTTTACAGGTATCCCCAGGTTCTGTATATTTTTAGAGTTAACCTTAGGGTCTTTATATGTTTACAGGTAACCCTAGGTTCTTTATATTTTTACAGGTAACCCTAGCAACTTTATGTTTTTAAAGGTAAACCCAGGTCCTTTATATTTTTACAGGTAAACCGGCCAGTGTTCTTTATGTATTTACAGGTAACCTTAGGTTCTTTATATTTTTACAGGTTAACCCAGGTTCTGTATATTTTTACAGGTAACCCAGGGTTCTTAATGCATTTACAGGTAACTCTAGGTTCTTTATATTTTACAGGTAACCCAAGGTTCTTTATATTTTTACATGTAACCCTAGGTTCTTTATATTTTACAGGTAACCCTAGGCTTTTTATATTTTTACATGTAAACCCTGGTTCTTTATATTTTTACAGGTAAACCTAAGTTCTTTATATTTTTACAGGTAACTCTAGGCTTTTTATATTTTTACAGGTAAACCCAGGTTCTTTATATTTTTACAGGTAACCCCTAAGTTCTTTATATTTTAACAGGTAACTCTAGGTTCTTTATATTTTACAGGTAAACTCAGGTTGTTTATATTTTTACAGGTAACCCTAGGTTCTTTAACCAGTTGTATAGTGGTATGAACGTATTTGGTCTTGCTGGCTCATGGGTCACTGAATCTTTGAACACCAATATGTAGGTTATTTATGTACATTATTTCATTTTAATTTTCTGTGCTCTGATTGTTAAAGTTTGGATTATAAACTAATGATCGTTACGCGATCATACAAAAAAGGTTATGTTTGATCATATTTATGTACTGCGTCTCTTTACAAAAACATTTGCAGTGAATATTAACATTTTAAATGTAGAATTAATTAGTTTTGGGTTTCTGTTACTCTAAAAGTGTTCAAGACAATCGATTGCAATATATTCAGCTTTTTCGAACCATTTTCAAATCGATCAAATACATTGATTTTTAATACTGTAATGACATGCACCTTGGCTTGACAGGTAGTTACCACACTTTGTAAAAAGACAAGTTGTGTAAAAAGAAATACTTGTTGTTGTTTTTCTGGGGTTTTTTTTATAAAAAAATATTTTTTTTTTAAAAAATAACCGGCACAATTAAAACGAGATTTAAATATGTTGACAGGAATTAATTTTCATTAACGGGGGAAATGATACATAGAAAAATCAAACGAAATATTCGGCCCTGGCGCAAACAGGGATCGAAAACCTGTGGTAACGATTTGTAACTTCAATATAAGACATTTTTAGCTTATATGCCCCGGGGGTAAATACATGTTAGAAGGGTTTTAAATATATTGTAAATATAGATAATTTTTGATTAAAAAATAATAAATTTTTGGGTTTTTTTTTAAATTTTAATGTAACCGTCAAATTTTAATCCCTGAGGGGCACACCCAAAAAGGGGGGATGTGGGGTAAAGTTTAGGTAAATGCATTTAAAAATGTTTGTCTCCGCTCAAATTTTGGGGCCCGTCAGTATATTTTTATTACCGTAAAGCAAAGGATAAAGGCCACCCCTCAATGCGAGGTTATGTGGGAAGGGTTTTTTCCCTTTTAAATGCTCTTTGATAAACCCAGGTTTACATGGGGGAGGGGGGGGGGCTTCATGATTTTAAAATTACCCACTATTTTTTTCCGGGTTTTTTGGGCCAAACAAAATTTCAAAATTTTCTGGGCTTAAGTCCCTAACTGTTGAAACTGTTGACAATGCAACTGATTTGCTTTAATTGTAATTAAATTGTCACAACGGGCAAGGACGTTAGGTTCGCAGAAAAATGTTTCAGACGCGCTATATACGTACATGATTTTATTTCGATTTCTAAATCAATTCAGTTGAGATAGTATAAGGTTATTTGTGAATTTTAAGACATACATACGAAACGTCCCCTGTGTTTGTATTGATTGACAACTTTATCATTGAGAAGATGTGTAATAAAGTCGGATTTGAGGCCGGCGATGGTCTCTTCTGTCCAGGTAATAACTACAAGCATTATGGTAACTTTTAGAAATATAACACTTAAAAACAGATGAAAACATTAAAGAACTATTACAAAACCACTTAGCAGATAACACAAAATAAGAAGAATGTGGAAAACTCACTTCCGGAGCCACTGTGGGCAGGGACTTATAATTTATTCATCTAGACTAAAGAAGCTGTCCAACTAGCTTACAGCAGGTCGGTTGTTCTACTCAGATGATCGCTCGTGCATAGAATAATGCAAAGGTTGCCGCATGAAGACTTACTTTTTAGTAAAGCTAGGACAATCGAAATATGACCTTGACCTGTCGGAATGACCTTGACGTAGGTGAAAAACATCTTATAATGACAAAAAACTACATGTATAAGGTTTATATTTATTGTTTTATTGTACATTACATGATCTGTGTCAGAACAGATTCATTTATTTCCTATATTAGTTTTGTATTTTTTATTTTACCTTATACCAAAGGTCTCAAAGTGAAAACCCAATTCGTTGATTCTTCGTTTTGCTATTATTCAGGCGGTGCTTTCTCGAACATCATGGCATTAAATATATCAAGGTACAAATGTTACCCTGAGGTGACGTCAGAGGGTGTATATGGAGCTAAACGTATGAAAATATATGTTTCTGCCGAGGTATTGTTATATAATATTTGAGCCGCGTCACGACAAAACCAACATGATGGGTTTGCGACCAGCATGGATCCAGACCAGCCTGCGCATCCGCGAAGTCTGATTATGATCCATGCTGTTCGCTTACAAACCCTATAGCAAGTAGAGAAACTGATAGCGAACAGCATGAATCCTGATCAGACTGCGCGGATGCGCAGGCTGGTCTGGATCCATGCTGGTCGCAAACCCATTATGTTGGTTTTGTCGTGACGCGGCTCATATTTATTTACTATCTGCAGAAAGTGTTTTAGTTAACCGTAACTTCGCTTTATATCTTAAATGGACTCGTCCATATTTTAATCTTGCCGAATGAAAAAAAAAATCAACATATGTACTGACTAAATGGTGAACGGGGAAGACCGCGATCAGTGGGTAGGTTCCATTTATCATGTCGTACCTTATAAAGCTGAAAAAATTAAGTTGTAATTCACTAGTTTTTATTGTTTTAGTGTTTATTTATTTAGAATTACGTATAGCGATTGAGTGTCTAATCTAAACTAGTCCGAACCAAAAAAAAATAGAAAAAAAGAAGTTCGATATAGAAAGGTTGCCGGACTCGGAAAGAAATGATAATGCCTAAAATATGATTCTAAAGTCAGAGAAAAGTGACCTATTACTGTCAGTTTTCAATAACATTCACAGGCATGATGCGGCAATCGGTCATTAATTGTTATTTTTGGTATATGTTAGTGATTATTAGTAAGCATTTACAAAATTAAATTTGGTCCCCGTTCGAGCAATTTGATGTTGAAAATGCTTAATATATATACACACAAACCAATTTAGTGTTTTAATTTTTTTTTTATAAAACTGTCGATTTTACTGACCAGTAATTACCCATTTCTCCGCAAGTGACCGACTACCTGATTTGGAAATTATCAGACTCTCTTGACAATTTAAGCCTTGCTTGAAAAAAAGTGAAAAAACTTTTAACTTAAAGTATAAAAAGCAACAGAAAATACAACCGATTCAAATATATGAATTTAAAAAACATTGAATCGGTTATGTCGAATTGTCGTATTTATCGTATTATCGTTATTACGTACTATGACTCTATATTTAGTACATCTTGTTTATTTACAGGGTCATTATTCCATTACTAAAGGTGCTATGTTTCTCGGCATTGGGTCAAAGAGTGTAGTGAAAGTAAAAACAGACGACAGGGGGGTAATGATCGCAGACGACCTGGAACGCCAGATTGTACGAGATAAGGAAAACGTTAGTATATTTATAAATAATTGAATGCGGAATTAAAAACATGGCCGTTTATTTATAGTTAATTCAGTGTTCCAATTTTCTTTAATTTATAGGACAGTGTGTTCGTTATTCGGAACCACTTAACCGTTTTGTTGATTGTGTGTTGTCATTTTCTTGGCGCCTTCTTTGCTCCTTTTACTTTTCATTTCGCTCTGATAGGACTGTGTGAGTCTGTTTCATACATGTGTATTCCGTTTTTGTATTCATTGTGCGAAGCAGAATGAATACAGAGTTATAAGTACAATCTCAAAAAAAGGTAGGCAGAGTGGATTTGCTGAACAGCATCCATCCGCTTATACGTCCGTGACATAAAGTAGTTCATGATTTGCACTTTAATCGCTTTAAGCATACGCTAAGCGATGACTTATCTGTCCCAATGTTGCAAAAAATTATGTTAAAGTTTTTTTCTACCCGAAAATCATGCACTTTATTCATGTTTGACATCTAAAAACATCGATAAAAATTTCCTGTATTTCTACGCTACAAATTATTTTAACGCATGCGCAGACTCACCATAATTTATCGAAGAGAACAACACGTAAGAGAAATTGCTCAGGAAAGAATCAACAACCATCGCACATATTGTAAGTAAATATATTTGAGTTATTGTTTTTTTCATTGATTATCACTTTATATATCTATTTATTACATAACTTGACGAGTATTTTACGGGAAATTTGAATAAACGGCCAAGTTCAAAAACACTTTGATTGACTCGGCCGCTCGTCATTTTGTCATTTACGTAATTTTCCCTATAATTCGAAATGAAAGTGTTAGAATGTTTCGATTTGAGACCAACTTATCACTGATTTTGATCATTGTCATGTTTTTTTGTTGTTTACTCGTGTGTCACGTAACTTGGTCATAACATAAACACAAACACGAGGTTGACCCACTTTTGAGAATTGGCCCATTGTTGACAAATAGCGTGAAAGGCGTTTGTTATTATCTATTTCATCACTTTCTTTTCGTTAGAAAATGTGGTTAATGAGCTGCTTTTTAGAGTTTTGTATTTGGTTGTGAAATATTAACAAATTTCATTATGTAAGGTTCGCGCCATAAACATGACTCATACCGGAAGTTCCTTTGTTTGTTTACGACCGGAAGTCGCTTATGTTCAAAAATTAAATAAGAATCAAAATTACATGAAGGATTTAAAGTTAGATTGATGTGGTAAGTGCTGTATAATATTTATTTCCAGGTTGACTGTAACCTTTTTGTCGTGGGTATTGTAGCGGATATTCCTTGTGACGTAAGTAAATCTATATACTGGTAACAATAATTTTTTATTATGAAAATTGCAGAGGCAGTCGGTGTGTGGTTTTGATACATAAAATGATCATGATATCTGCCACTTGCTTGATGCCTAAGTTTAAGTTCAATTTGTTTATCAACATGTATATTGTTGTATCTAAGCTAGGACAGTCGTCTGTGGTTTATATTAGTAGAGGTGATTCAGCCATCTTTGTTTTTTACTAACTGGGTCTTGCTAAAGTGAAAGTATGCCAAAATTCATACAAGTTTAGATTACCAATATCTACATCATACTGCTTTAAAATTGTTAACGATTACTTTAGTATACATTAAAGAGCCAGCTATGAAATACAAGGGAATCCAGGAACCAGTATTTAGCTTTTATTGAATAGACCCCTTTGTTCTTTTACATGTCTGGATTTCTGAGTACAGCTCTAGGTAGGTTGGAAACACTAAAACAGTGTCTATTCTAGGAATTGAAAAATAGGGGTGATTTTCCCCCCTCTATTTCAAAAAAGGGGGCGATTTTCAAAATCAAGGGGTGCCAATATAAAACTGCCAATGTTAAATCGTCTGCATTAAGTTTACACTGAGGCGTTCAACCGATGAAATAATTAAAACGATAATATTTATTTAAGGCAGCAGAAGTTGTCCCCCCTTAATTTTTAAACGAAAACATATTATTACAGAACTGCCGCGATTGATTATAAAGGGATTGGCAATACAAATAATCGACCTATCTTTCACGTCTAGATCGTAGCCAAGCTAGGAATTGCCTCATTTTTCTTGATTATTTACTACACTAACATGGCGCCCAACTGTCAGAGCACACTAGTTCCGGTCGATACGGAACATTCCGTTAATTTCCGTCAACTCGCGTAACCAATACCATACGGTACTTAATTATTATAATTAGCTTACAGTTACCTCCCTTCGGTTTCGGTGTAAATGTAAACAAAACAACCAAATATAATGTGGGATGGAAGTTTTACGTTTTTTTTACCTTTTTTATAGATGCGCGATTTCTCATGCACATGAATTTTGAATTGTGCGTGATCTCTGAAATACTAGCGTGAATCGCGCAATCGCGCGTCCTAGAATAGACACTGCTAAAAGTGTCTCTAAACAATCCCAAGGGTGTAACCCTATATTAAATCCAGGATCTCGGGAGTGATAATCCTTCACTTCCTAGGGCAACTCTAAAAGAATCCAAATATAGAAGCTACTGCTGTGGTCAAAGTAGCAGAAAGTTAGAAATGTACAGAAGGGAGGTAACTCCTGTACCAGAAATTATTGATAAAATTAATATGGCAGATAATCATCGTATGCATTCGCCCTTTAAATATTTTTCTTATTTAAACAAGTAAAATGGTTTTGGATGGTTTTGAAAATGAAATCTCTAAATTGATATTTTCAGGGAAATAAAAGATTATTTACTTAAATATTCACTTGGAAAGGCTGGTACATGTAGCTAGAAAAAGTACAGTATAAGATTAAAGAAAGACTAGAAGATTATTACAAACAACAGGTACTTATATAATATTTAATGTATATTTTACAAACCAAACTGTTTTCCAAAAAAAATGAATGAAAACATGCATTTTTTACCAGTGTCACCACGGGTCAGATTAACAGACCCATTCCCAGTGGCAAATAATGCCAAATATGCTTTTTTTCTTTTCCAAGTTTAGAAAAAATCATAAGTCAAAATTCCGTTATCAAAGGTGACAATTTTTCTTCGTTCCATTTCAATCCAATATGGTACCAGACAGATGATGTTCAAAAACACATTCCATTGTCAATTTTTTATGTATTTTTTTTATGCTTTGAATGATATACAATTTGTTTTGGATTAACAACTTTGTACATGGTACTAAATATTTTTCCCATCAAGATGCAAAATTTCTTAACCCGATTTACTTCATGAGCATTTTGTGAAATGGCTGTTTTCCACTAAGGAAAAGTTCTTCAACCGTTACAAGTTCAAAAAAATGCTATAATATAATAATCACTATAAAAGCTGCTTCAACCAGCTAATCAACTTGGCACAAATGTTGACTGGAACACATTGGCCTTTCGCTGCTAGCCACTTATCTCTCTAGGCTTAAACTTTTGTCATGGCAGAGGGGACATGCATCGAAAATAGCCCTACGAATAACACTACTTGCCTGAGGATATATATTTCAGTGCCGAAATATTGATTTTCAAAAAGATGACATATTCTTCGGTTTCAGGACTTGAGATTAAAGTCAAATGCACTGCTTAGCGAGCGTGCTAAAACGTAAGCGGTCAAAGTTTGGAAGTTATGGATCAATCTGGGTAAATCCATATTACAGAGCATACAAAGTACTTCAATGATCGATATCCATCAAAGATTTCTTGGCTCCATCATGCTTAGTTAATGGTTTTTGCACACAGGTCAGTAAGACCCGGTGTAAGCACAATAATACTGTCTGCATCGTATATGTGTCAGAAAAAATATCACAAAAAAGGAATTTAGTATTACTATGAGTATTTATTAAAGAAATTGTATTTCAAATATATTTAAATAGTATTATTGAAAGTCATTTTGTATGGACAGACACACAAATCTAGTGTGCTCTGCATTATAAATGTAAGAAGAGACAAATAAGATAAGCATTTTTTGCAATATTGCACTTCATATAATTTTATTGCTTTTTTTTAAGGTGGACACTGTAGTCACTGTCAAGCGAATGAAGATAAGCACCTCACACTCGGATGGGAATCTACCAAGTTTCCAGATGTAAGTGATCATAAACTGTATACGGCACCATATAATCAAGCACTATTGAGACTAGGCTAGATGTATTTATTATGAGGGCTAGTCCTGAATTGTGAATCTGCCAGTCAGATGAGTCAAGGCGCCAGTAATGAAACATTTGGTGTTGAAGGAAAAATGTATAAATAACGTACGGATTTTCCGCTTAACCAATCATCTTAACTTTATAACCTTATAATTGTCATGTGCGGTAATGCACTCGAAATGGTTTTACTTTACTGGAACAGAGCTGTCAATTATTAATGGTAACTTTATTAGCTTGTTAGTGTTATCGTCGGACAGTTGTGAGTAAAAACATCATAGTTGTGACTGTATAGCAAGTTGCCCTTAAAGAAAGTATGTCGAAATCTTAACAGTTATTCGTTTGATTTTGTAGAAATTGACTAGAATTCACCTTTGTTAACATGCATCGCTTGGACGTCGAAAACGACATGCAATGACATTTCAGTGAAATTTGGAAACTTGCTTCGTATTTTGGAGCATTTTGTAGGATTTCGATGAAGTAAAAAAAGTGTTTATGATAGGATACATTATTCCTAGAGACAACCATAAAGATAAAATAGTGATCTGGTGTATTTTATACCGAACAGTTCTTGTTTTGTTTTGCATGATATTTTTCTCTCGTTAGGGACCTTTATTCTTTATATATATAGTATTATGAGCATATATCTGTGTAATGTGGTATATAGTGCCTGTGGTTTTAACATGTATCTTAGAGCTTGCCTGGTTAATGATAAGTAATAAACCTGAGAATTGGAAACTATGAGAATAAATTGTTCGTTATTAGTCCCTCTTCTCATTTTGACATTAAGAGGGGAACTAAAGGCTGACATCATTTCTGTATGTCAATGAAAGCTGAAAGACTGAATTTTGCTATAGCAGAATTAAATGGTACAACAAATAGAAT